TGAGTGAGGTATGATCAAAAGTGGCCATGTGGGCGGGTTAATTATTGAACTGTAATATTCCCAAATAAATTCTTGAATGTTCAGGCCTGGGCTCATGTTTCCACTTACTTACTTGAAAGAATGAATGAATTATTTATTTATTGTCACTTGCATTTTACAGTGAATAATATGGCAAAATACAACAGAAAGCTTCAATAGCCCCCACAATCCAAAGCTATTTTGAATAGTTTAAGAATAAAAAAAGGAGAAAAGATACAGGTAGTGAGTCCTGAGCCAGCACACCTATGACACCTGTGCTGCCACCCCTTCTCCACTGCCTTGCCAGACCTACCAATGTCGGAGTCGTCACTCTTAAGGCACCATCTCTTCGTCGTTGGGCCCACCTCACCAATGCTGGATCTAATGGTGAATCCACACTTCCCCCATAACCACTCCCTGTCTCCTCTATCACCTCAATGATGCCAGGTGTCCTGGTTGCGGGCATACCATGCTGCTGCCATTGCAACCATCGCCTCGCCAATGCCAGGAGTCTCTGAGCCTCCTGCAACCAGGAGTCCCTGGCTCCGCTGCCAGACCGGGCCGTCATCACAGTCTTGCCATGAGTCCCCCTCCAGCTGCCCTCCTCCGGGAGGTCGCCTTGCTGGCACCGCCATCTTGAAATGTCCCCTACTTCCACCATCTTCGATCACCAAAGGAGCTTTGCCACCAGCCCCAAACACCAGGAGGACGTCCCTGCTGCCACCATCGCCTCCAGTCACCATGAGGAGCCGCCCCTGCTGTTACCTTCGACTGCCAGGAGGAGCCACCATTTCATGTACAGCCCCCTCTAACTGCCACATGGATTTTTCCCACTAACCCACCGCAAATGGCTCCAAAGAGAAGAGAACGGAATGAATAAAAATTAAAGAAAAAGAGCAAAAGTAAAAAGAAAGAATTAAAAAAAACATGTAGGAGCAGATAAGCCTCAGGCAATTGTCCGCACGCAGTCCTGCTGCTCTGCTGCCATCTTGAATCTCTCTAGCTTCCTTCAAATATTTCCCTTAAATACTTCATGTTTTAGTACAAACTTCATTGCTGACTGTAATGAATGAAAACACTCAAAATAAACTGGTCTCAGAATTGCTGCAAATCTTCAGTTAATGATTGTCAACTCTGCCAATATGTATACAATTGATAACTCTACAACATATATTTCCAAGTATCTAACTCACTTTTAAAATTGCTTGTACTATCCTGCATGTTTATTCAGCTTCATTTTTCTTTCAAAGATCATTCCAAAGTGCAAGACAATCAATAAATCGCTTTGAAGTCACTGTTAAATAGGTCAGAACAGCATCCAAGTGCAAACATCAGGGACTCAGGGATAATAAATTCAATAAATGATCACTTTGCCTTTGTTTATGACCTGAGGGTAATTCAGGGAGAGAAGCTCATCAGGATACTGACAGAAATACATGCCCAATATCACAGACATGACTGGATCATTTCCATCCACATGACAAAGCAAGTGAAGACTCTGTGTCATCTTCAGGAAAAGTTGTGACAGATACCTTTAACAATGGAGTGCTTCCTCTGAACTGTATGGAGCTGTCAGCCTGGTTTGTGTCTTGGGGGCAAATGGATAACCCAATGATTTGGATGATCCAACAGACACTGTAGCCCTGAACTCTCAGTCTAGGGTTCCAATCTGCTGAGTGCTGTATTGTGAGACGTCACTCAGATGACAGATCTTGCACAAAAAACTTCTTCTGTGGATTTACAGAGTTAATCAACAATAGGCTCAGTATTAGCTCAATAGTTTAGAGGATGTCGGTCACAGTATGACACCAAATAGGATTTTTTTTTAATATATACAAGCAGAAAAACAGAGAATATGAGGGAAACATTTGAAATTAACTAATGTTGTCAGAGCTTGAGATATTAAGCACCATTGACTTTTCCTGGTGATTTTGGACATGTATAAATAAATGAACTGACCTCCTATGATAACAGTAATTCTTCTTTACTCACCAAGAAAAAAATGATACTGACTGCTCATTCATCTCTTAGTCAATATGTAGGTGCAACATAACTGGCACAATAACATAACTTTGAGATGTCTGAACGATCTGATTGAAAACTGTGATAAAATTTCAAGTCTTTCTTTTAACAAACTTAACTGTAAATGTACCAAATTTCCTCACAGCATTTAATAACTGAGAAATTAATTGCTTTTACAATATGGCCATAATCAATAATTTGCTTACACGGCATCAACAAATGTTTCATAACCGCAGGCAAAAGGCAAAAACAAAGTAAAAACTGTGATACAAATTTCAATAAGGAGACTACTGTCATTCTGAAACTTTATAACAGCCACTTTACACTACTCCCTAAATATAAACATTGCCTTCATTCTTGACACCCTTATTCAGCCCTCCCCTTTGTAACTATAAGTTTGCTATCATTGAACCACCACTTGATTCACATCCACTTCATCCAGCATTTTATTCTGATGTTCATGCTATCATGCAGCGTAAGCCAATGCAAAAAGCAAAATAGTACAGAATTGGAAAATATGAAAAAAAATTCATGTAAAATCAGACTGAATTGAGATGACTCTGACTTCTGATGGCAATTTGAAATAGGATCTTTGTTTCTCTCCACATATATTGTCTGACCTGTGTACTTCCAGCATTTTCTGTTTTTGTTTTATACTTTGCAGGCCTTTGTCCTGCAACCAAACTTCTAGGCAATAAATCAAATTACAATGATGCAAGATCCCACAGCTGAACTGAATAGAAAATAGACAGTAGTCATTTTGCCCTGACCAAAGTTATCCCTCAACTAACATCACCATCTTTACTGCATACTGCTGTGTTTAAACTGTGCACTTCCCTCAACACATCAGTTGAAACATTTAATAAATAATTCACCAATTGTATTATGCTTTTGGACATTGTCAGCAATTGACAGGTGCTATGTTAATTAAATTTTCTCTGTTGTAACGTGGGCACAAGAACTTATTTACAGAAAGAGGTGGAAACGTGTCATGAAGGGGAGGGGCATAAAATTATTGCGGATATGCGGAGCACAGCACAATAGATCAGAAAAGGGATATGCTGTGTTACCCAAATGGGCTTTTCTCAGTTTTGTTTTCAGATGCTTGTGTACAGTATCAGTGACCCAAATAACAGCACATCAAGATTACAAATAGTGCTGCACCATTTTCCAGTCTTAAGAGTAATTCTTCTGCACAGTGCATATTAAGTTGCAAATCAGCCTTAAAAGTAAAGTGAGTGCCTGAGGCTCAAGCTGTTAGATCCCAACCATTTCAGTCACATTTTTAGAAAAAAAGTTTTGAATACAACTCATGTATTAAAAGGGGACAGGGGGAATCAATAATCATGGAAGTGCCTCAAATCAAAATTGAATTCATGAGGTCTGTGCAATTTTGACAAACTTCAATTGGAGCTGTGGAAGAAAAAATTTAACTGTTCAGTGTAACATTTATCTTTCTCGAATGGATAAATACAAGTTACTGCCACAGAAAGATGATGAGATGATCAAGATGAGGTGCCCATGCAATTCTCCCAACAAGTGAATGACAAACGACACCATTAGATGTGGTTAAGAAATAAATTAAGAACAACGAAGGATGGTATGCATGAAGAAATCATTGGAAAGTACAGTATATTCGGTTAAAATACATCACCCAGCACTACAGCCACTGTATGGAAAGTGCAAGCAGTATGAAATGGGAAAATGACTTTGACTTATGCCAACAGATTGATTTTACTTTGATGCGAAGTTTTGCCAAGAAATCTAAAGGGAAAAATGATTCAATCAAGTCTCAAACCTTCTGTTGCTTCATGTGCCAAAATGAAGAATTTAACATTCTTTGCATTCAATTATTATTGAGCCGATCCTGACAAATGTTATGCTCCATTTTTATCATACCATATTTGAAGGTATTCCTGATTCCACGGGCTGGATTTATAATCATTTTCCACTTTCAGCAACCCCCCACCCCACCATCCCACAATGGGTGAGCAGATCAAGTCTAGAGAATATTCCTGACTCAAGAGGAAATTTACAGGGGTCTGCAGAGTTACCCCACTATCCTTGGATCCACTGAGATGCTGAAGTTGCCACTATTTAGTCACCTAAGCGTCGCGTCCCTAGTATTTTACCCTCATGCTTGGGACAGTGGCGGGATGGGTTGAGGGGATCTTGAAGGAGGTTGGTTATGGGTGGCGTTAAATGTCTCTCTCACAATTCCCAATCCCTGCTTCAGGCCACCGAATCCCCCTTGTACCAAGCCTCCCACATGTTCTGCTCCACCTCACAGATTGCCCCCACTGTATTGATCATGTCCACTCCCTGTCCATCCTGCTATCAACCTTCTACCCCAGTCAGCAATCAATACCAATTAATGACCCCATAGAGGAACACATCCTAAGATCCAGCATCACGATGGATCTATTCATGTTCTCTCGTGTAAAGAGACTACAAGGAGAGAGAAAAAAAAAGTGAAACCTGGAAATCTAAAATAAAGACAGATGCATAAAGGCAATTTCATACTCTAAGTACATTAATGAAATGCATCTATGAACATCTAATCACCTTGTCTCAATGCCTGTGGTTATCATTAATCGTTTAGTTGCTTTTCAAATCATCCTTTTTTTTTAAGGAAACTATTTTTAGCAGTGATGAAAGGAATGTTTACACATGATAGATAGGAGTGTACAAATTCATCTTTCTGGTCTGGAAAAAGCAGGAGAGGATACCAGGAGTTATTCACTCTAATAGCAGCCTCCAATTTGCTGTATATTTTTAATTGCTATAGGTATCAATGGCTGATTAATGCAGTCACTATAAACCACATCAGAGAGAAGCATTATTTGTTGCAATCCAGCATCGTGAAACTCTGAAACAGGGTGAAACACCAAAACCTGAAATCTGTGGCAACTGTGGAGAAAACAACAGGTTTTAAGTATTAAGAAAAACAAAAGATTTACCTTCTGCAACCCTCCATAGCGCTGGATAGAGTCCGAAAGCTGGTTCTTAAGCCTATCCAACTGCAACCATTCTCGCTGAAGTAAAAAAAAGAAACATCAATTAAATAGTCCCTTGCCTCCCTGAGACTTGAATTAAACATATCAATTTCTAACCAGCCTCTTTCGTTCACTCTCCATCAACATGCTGGAAATGTGAAGAAATCATATAAAGACAGGAGACCTAAAATAAATACCAATAAAACAGGTTTTCATTTTAAGATGATCAGTCAAGCATTTGAATGTGACAAGTTGGGTTAATATTTAAAGGGCAGCTTTTTTTCTCAAACCTTGCATCCCTGACATTAATTATGAATTACTATTGTGCTGTTGATTTGCGGCATCTGTGTTCACCAGCTTATAATCTTTGGCCTGTTAAAACAAATAGGGGGATAACAATAGGGCGACACAGTGGCTTCGTGGTTAGCACTGCTGCCTCACAGCACCAGGGACTGGGGCTCAATTCCACCCTGTTTGTGTGGAGTTTGCACATTCTCCCCGTGACTGTATGATTTTTCCTCCGGGTGCTCTGGTTTCCTCCCACAGTCCAGATTAGGTGGATTGGCCATGCTAAATTGTCCATAGTGTTCAGGGATGTGCAGGCAAGGCGGATTAGCCATGGAAAATATGGGGTTACAGGGATTACGATAGGGGAGTACTCTTCGGAGAGTCAGTGTGGACTGGATGGGCCCAATGGCCTGCTTCCACACCGTAGGGATTCTGTGAACAAATCAAGGGTATGCAAAGACCTGGGATGGCAAGTTCAGTGACATAGATCATGAAGTGAAAAGTTTAGGTGCCCTATTCATATCATAATATTTGCATGAAAAAGTGCTGGAATGTCAGTCTGGTAACTGTGTGGTTAGATCGGAGATGAAACATAGGAACAGTAAAGAGAGAGCATAGCTTACAACAAAAAGGTGACAAGAATCGCCATAGCTCATGTTAAGGAATGGCACTTGGTGTTAGCTGAGCAGCAATTTCTGTAACTGCCTTAAATTAACTTTCAACAGTAAATTACATTGTAGAAAATACCTTGTGAAAGGTGGCATGAAATAATGTTTAATGTTTGTGTGCTAATTTTTCCACAGAGACTTTGCAGGCAGAACAGAAAAAGATGTCACTGAAGTTTAGGGCTGAGACAGCACCTTGACAAGACTAGCAGCTGGAAAAAGCACGGGCTCCTGATTCAGGCAGAGAAAATTCACCATGTCAGTCATCCCATGAGCGGGAGAGAAGTGCAGGAAAAGCAATAAGACAGTGTGCTCAGGCCAAACAAGACAAGCATCCTGCAGGACCTAACACAGAATTCAAACACCTATCTACAGTAGAGAGCCAAATGTTGTCTCTCTTTCTCTCCCTCCCTCTAATTGTTTGCTGAATGCAAGGCAGCTGTGCTTCAATGGTTAGACACCTCATGATCTGATTGTTCGCTCAAGGCAAAATTCAAAGGCAAATGAGTCATCAAAGCCTGTTGTCATGGGAGACAACACTTCCTTGGTGGCCATCTGACAAGTTTAACATCTTTCATCTCTGCTGAAAATGCATCTTAAGAAACCTGAAAAGGCAGCTTTCAGGTCAACAACTTTGCCACCACAAGGCGAGACACTTAACCTCTCTGTTCTCCCCCCTCCACAGGGCAAATATCACACTGCACATGCAGCATGTTTTGCCAAGTGCAGGAGGAATTTATTTTTATTATTCATGGGATGCAAACATCACAGGCAAAGATGGAAATTATTGCCCTTCACAGAGTGGGTTTCTGAGCCATTTTTATAGAATGTTAAGGGCCACTGAATTGCTGAGGATCTGGTGTCACATGTAGGCCACAATGGGCAAGGATATTCCCAATAGAAATTCATGAACAAGACTGTATTTTACGATGACAAAGCAAATTCTTTGGAGATGCTGCAGATTAAAAACAATACAACAGGAAGTGCTGGTAAAATTAATCCACTCTGGCATAATCTATGGAGAGAGAAACAAATCTCAACAGAGGGACAAAAACCTGCTGGGATTCTCCAGTGTTTTCTCTTTGGGGTTTTATGACAATTTGATAGGTTCCTGCTGAATATTCCTGATACAAGGGGGTGAATCCTACATTTTCTTGGCTGTGCAGGTTGTGCTGAGGTTTTTGGAGGGATTCCCAATGGCGACAATGATATCCAGCATGTAGCTAGAGTCTCCTGTATTCACACCTTGGAGACCCACTGTCATTACTTTGCAGACTTAAGTGACTGTGGGATGAGCAGTAGAGAATAACTGTCCAGCAATTGGCACTCACTGTTGACTGTGACAGTAGACTCAATTATGGCAATGAACTTGAAATGCCTTTGGTGAGTCCATTGGTACAGCAGCAAATTATTCCTGATTTGGAATGCCATCTTTGATGTACCCTAGTTTAAATTGAAAAATTTTGTATGAACAATGTGTGGACTGTTAACACAAAAGCACCATGTCATGATCCCTCTAAAATCCAGGCCCATGGATCAGTCACATTTTACAATTCGAAAATTCTTTTGCAAAGTTGCCGACACCAGGGTCAATTGGATAATGTTGGACAAAAAGCTAAATTCCATAGCCTAAGGTACTATGGCCTTTCTCACAGAATCCCTAGTGTGAAAGCAGGCCATTCTGCCCATCGAGTTCACACCGACCCTACAAAGAGCAAGCCACCCCAGATCCACCCCCATTCCCAATCCCTGTAACTCTATATTTCCATGGCTAATCCACCTAACCTACACATCCCTGGACACTATATGGCAATTTTAACGTGGGCAATCCATATGACCTGCAATCTCTGGACTGTGGGAGGAAACTGGAGTATCCGGAGGAAATCCATGCAGACATGGGGCGAACGTGCAAACTCCACACAGACAGTTGCCCAAGAGTGAAATCGAACCTGGGTGCCTGGAGCTGTGAGGCAGCAGTGCTAACTACTGTGCCACCATTCTGCAAGTGCTTTGTGATCAAAATCTATAATTCTGTCGATTTTTTCCACAGACTGGATATAACCCAAGGTGACTGGAAACATAGCAGTTATGCACATCTGAACTGCTTTGTTTCAATAATGCAAAAAAAAAGAAGCTGCTCCAAAAGCTCTAGCACATCAGGCACAAAACCAAGTGGCAGAGTTTACATATTAAATGGGATTTCATTATTAATGTATTAATGGAAGTTGCATTTAAAGTCGATTAATAATTCAGGATGTAAAAGTCCAATGACTGTATTAGTTAAAAATGGCTTACAGCCAAGGCGAGGAGTAATTATATTTTATATGCAAATCTTACTGGTTTTAATTTTCTGGCAATTACATTTTGGTTTCAGGACCCGTTCGCATAATATTTAAGTTATTGTTATATTTCAGCTGCACTTACCCTGGATGATCCACGCACTATTTCCGAGAGCTGCTTAATATACTTCGTTGAAGAGCTGATGGTTTTATTCGTCTCCTGCTGTGTTGTGTGCCTTTGGCAAGACAGAAGGGAGGAGGAAACAATAAATAAAATAAATGCTGTATTTGAAATAAAACAGCTGAACTAACTGTGGAAAGAACAACGATTAGGATGCAATCATCAGAGATTTAAGTGGGAATATCACAAGGTATCAATATGCCTTTGTAGAATTACAAGTTTAATATAATATTGGGGCCATTTGAATTTCACTTTGGTCCCATAATTCATGTTAAAATATTTCAATGAGATCAGATCATGCAAAGGAATGTTTTCTCCATGTCAAAATGCAAAGCAAAAGTTTAGTCATAAAACTTGTGTTTAATCAGCAAAACAATTCTGGAAGAAACCAATTGAATACATTTCCTAAGTAAATCCTTAACCATCTCCAATACTGAATGCTCCCAAGTACTGTCCCTCGGTTTGTTGCCGCAAGTACTAGACTCAAATATATCCGGCAAACTGCCAATTTAGCCATCCATCATTACATTGGTCTTGCCAACATCAAAATCTGTTCGACCTTATTCCTCACTGCCAAAACACTGCTCTAAGGTAATCCTGTAGAAGAAAATTAACTCCGATTCCATTCCTTTACAACCAACCACCTTCTAAAACTCCCTTTTCCAAATCTTTCACCCTCAGGTGAGAAGCTCATGGGTTTCTTTGTCAACGAAGTAAAGACTATCTATCCATTACTTTCGTTGCATTTCAACTTACCTTTGCTGACAAAGGATGAACAACCGCTCTCCACATGGATCTCCTCTTGCCCAATTTCAAAGCTTTTGTTTTGTTATGTTGATGGCATTCTATTCAATTTAAATCATTGTAGGCATCTACTTCTCTCCTGATGTACTTTCTATATGAATCTGACCAAGAGATCTGCCTTCTGCTCCTTCAGCCCCATCCCACTGATTAATCTACTTCTCTTTGTGGTCACCATCTTAGCTAACATTAGTAGTGATTCGCTCTCCTTGGGCATTCTCCTCTCCTTTTCAGAGGGTAGTATCATCAATTCTTTTCAAGTTAATGTAACTGCAGACCCTTGAAAACTGCGACTCATGATCAACCTCGGATTTTTCTTCAAAGTTAACCATGTTGTCTACTCTCAGCCCTTATTTCACTGCCTCCCACAGCTTATCGTTTCAATCTCTCCAGTCATATTCCTTTCCTTCTAACAGGGGCAAAACAATCCCAGTCAACATCGCAAATGGCATTCAGTATAACTGCATTGAATTGACTCTCCATGAACTGTGTACCTTTCAACATAATCAAATACACCATTCTCCTCTGTTCTGCTGTCCATTTCTACCCACACTTGAAACTAAAGCACTTTTGTTAATGGCTTCTTCTTCCATCACTAAACTGACACCTCAGGATTCTCTGATTCCTCATTAACATATTCAGCAAATTTATGCATAGCTATGGATGAGCTTCCGTAAGATGATATTGAGTGATATCTTTCAATCACCTTTCTTGACTTCTTAACTCTGTGCATTGAGAACATTTGCTTAACATCTAATCTTGAATGAGTTACAATTGTGAAGCAGCTTTCCAGAGACTTCAGAGTGCATCATAAACTCAATAATGTCCCATTGCCTTACTATGCCTTTCTGGCTGAAGGTCAGCACTGGGTTGGACTGTCTGGCTAGTGAAGAAGCAGTTGCACTTGCCAGTGATATTGAATGAAGTTGCCTGTGGCAAAGATAACAATCCATCCAGCATATATTCACTTTCCCAATAACAGATTAAACCGAGTGCCTAGTCAAGGATATCTCCAGGCATGTAGCAGCAGTGATATTAGCATACCAGCTTGACATATTTTCACTGATAGCAAACCAAAAAGTTAAGAGCACCATCAGATTTAATTTAGCAAATAGCAAACCAAGTAATACTGTCTGGATTAAGATCAGGGTTAAAATGTCAAACTTTCAATTATGAAGAATTGATTTCTGTTATTATAATAAAGAAACATTCCACAAACACAAGACCCAGTGAGCGGGTACAGCAATAATTCTGAACTGTCAGCAACACAGTTAAATCTGATTGTAAAAGGTGCAACTTCTTCCAAGGGCTTTTACAATGCAAAAGTGAAAGATTATATTCACTGAATAATTTGTGTGGTTATGTACTGGAAAACCCTCAATAGAGTTGCATTCTCTGAATAACTGTAGATTCACTGTCAGCAACTTAACCTTCAAGATGACAGCAGATGAAGGGTCTAGGCCCAAAACATCAGCCTTTCTGCTCCTATGATGCTGCTTGGCCTGCTGTGTTCATCCAGCTCTGCACCTTGTTGTAGCAGAGTAGGGCTCTTGAGCCCAGGGCGCTTCTGCCCCATCCATTTATCTTGTGGTTTGTTTTTTGTTTCTCTTTTCTCATTTCTTTTCTCCTTGTACTTACCTCCTCTGTAGAGCTTGGTTGCAGTGATGACATCAATGGTGGCCACTGAGCCCCATGTGGACTCGTGGCAGAAGATTCCTGTAAGATGGATGGAAGAGGAGTTGGTGCAGGGACAAGCACGGGGCCTGGTATCAGCATTGGCGGCGGCTACATCGGCAGAGGCAATGACAAAAAATGGCAACTGACCATCAACGACTTTGACGTTGGTTGGGTCCAGTGCTGGCAGCAGCAAAGTGATGGCGGAATGGGCATCACGGCAACATTGGTGTCATCTGTAGATGGCGTTGGGATTAGATATGTTGGTCTTCAGCTGTGGTGACACTGTAGGCCCAAACTTGTACTCTTGGAATGGCCTGTGTGATACAGGGGTATTGGTGGGCCCACAGCCCATTGTGTAGATCCCATTACTGCAACTACCACCCAACCCCGACAATGTCAAGCCAAGTACACGAAGCGAGGAAGATAAACTCTGTTTTCACTTGTATTTAAGTCTCAGATCTTAATTTCAGTCTTGTATCTTAATATCTTCGGAAGCCACAATGCCACCAGAGCACAGCAACATATTATACTTTTCATGATTTACTTGTTAATTACAAGTGACATTAAATCATCAATTCAGTTCCATTCAACTTACAGATATCTACTGATCATTTCAAAGATTTGCAGACTATTGAAGTCGCTATCAATTTCAGTGGAGTAATCACAATGACACCATCATTATTACTTCAAACTCCAAACCATTAGATCCCAAGTTGATTTACAGGCCTCACTTACTCGTCAATTCAAAGTCTTTTAGTTCTACCTCTCAATCGCCACAACATCATAACCCAGTTCATTCGTTCCTGAAATACTTTCACATGCATCCAACACTTACTGACATTTTCAAGCATTTGTCTGATACTTTGATGATGAGATTACTCAGCTCTGTCTATAGAATCTTTTTTTCCACGATGCACCATGCATGTGCTCCACTAAAGGGACTTCAAGAGGCACTTCATTTTGAGGTATGCCTTGTGCTGTTCAAGGTACATTCTTCATTGAACCAAGGTCAGCGTCAGATTTGATGGTAGAATGAGGGATATCCATTAACCAAGTGAACCTTCCATCTATTGACTCCAATTATGCTTCTCGCTGCCTTGGGAAATGAGCCGGCATGCCTTTATCCTGTCTAAACCAAGTATTGACACTAATGCCAATGTGGAATGGGAGCAGCTGTTTGAGGGTAAATCCACATTTGATATGTGGATTTTTTGATGATGAAGTGTCTAGGCCCGAAACATCAGCCCTTCTGCTCCTATGATGCTGCTTGGCCTGCTGTGTTCGTCCAGCTCTGCACCTTGTTGTCTTTGATATGTGGGATGCTTTTAAAGGGAGGTTGATTAGAGTACAGGACAGACATGTCCCTGTGAAAATGAGGGATAGAAAGGGCAAGATTAGGGAACCATGGATGACAAGTGAAATTGTGAGACTAGCAAAGAGGAAAAAGGAAGCATACATAAGGTCTAGGTGACTGAAAACAGACGAAACTTTGGAAGAATATCGGGAAAGTAGGACCAATCTGAAACAAGGAATTAAGAGGGCTAAAAGGGATCATGAAATATCTTTAGCAAACAGGGTTAAGGAAAATCCCAAAGCCTTTTATTCATACATAAGGAGCAAGAGGGTAACGAGAGAAAGGGTTGGCCCACTCAAGGACAAAGGAGGGAAGTTATGTGAGGAGTCAGAGAAAGTGAGTGAGATTCTTAATGAGTACTTTGCGTCGGTATTCACTGAGGAGAGGGACATGATGGATGTTGAGGTTAGGGATAGATGTTTGATTACTCTAGGTCATGTCAGCATAAGGCGGGGGGGAAAGTGTTGGGTATTCTAAAAGGCATTAGGGTGGACAAGTCCCCAGGTCCGGATGGGATCTATCCCAGGTTACTGAGGGAAGCGAGAGATGAAATAGCTGGGGCCTTAATAGATATCTTTGCAGCATCCTCGAGCACGGGTAAGATCCTGGAGGACTGGAGAATTGCTAACGTTGTCCCCTTGTTTAAGGAGGGTAGCAAGGATAATCCAGGAAATTATTGATCGGTGAGTCTGATGTCAGTGGTGGGGAAGTTGCTGGAGAAGATACTGAGGGATATGATCTACTTACATTTGGAAGAAAATGGGCTTATTAGTGATAGGCAGTATGGTTTTATGCAGGGAAGGTCATGTCTTACCATTTTGATAGAATTCTTTGAGGAAGTGACAAAGTTAAGAGATGAGGGAAGAGTTGTAGATGTCATATACATGGACTTCAATAAGGCATTTGATAAGGTTCCCCATGGTAGGCTGATGGAGAAAGTGAAGTCGCATGGGGTCCAGGGTGTACTAGCTAGGTGGATAGAGAACTGGCTGGGCAACAGGAGACAGAGAGTTGTAGTGGAAGGGAGTTTCTCAAAATGGAGAACTGTGACCAGTGGTGTTCCACAAGGATCCGTGTTGAGACCACTGTTGTTTGTGATATACATAAATGATCTGGAGGAAGGTACAGATGGTCTGATTAGCAAGTTTGCAGATGACACGAAGATTGGTGGAGTAGCAGATAGCGAAGGGGACTGTCGGAGAATGCAGCAGAATATAGATAGA